TGGGAATCACCATATTGAGTGAACCCAGGTTTTAATGACTGGCATTTGCACATTAAAGCTTGGTGGCCAGGCCATTTAAGCTGTCTCTTCTGTTAGAAAAAAGGTGGTTCAGGGATTGTTTCTTATTACTGGAAAATTACCCTTACTATCTGCCTAGAATAATTTCTTAGTAACTCCGGTATTACCAGGGGGCCGCTGGGGGAACAACAGGTTGGGGTAAACGCTCTGTGAGGCATAGCACCTGTAGGTCCCTGCATGGGCTGAGGTCACAGGACTCACAGAGAATTCAGCCTTTACCGCTGAGTGTGGTACTTTGATATTAGATACGAGGCTGCATCCTCCTCAGATGGAAGGAAAGTGTCCATCCACCCACCTTTACATCTGACATAGCAGGGTCACGTTCTCCCCTGAGGCCACCATGGGGCCTGGTTGCACCGAGAGGGAATGTCTGTCGTGGATCTGTTCTGGAGATAAGAAGGATGGGTGAGGAGCTGCACCACCTTGTTCTGAGCTGAGACCTCCTCAGGCCTCTCTCTGGGACCCTCAGTCTCCCTGTCTCTGTTTTCTCTGAGTCCCCCTCTCCCTGCCCAATCCCTCCTCTCTGTCTCTGTCACTCCCTCCCTTGGGACCCCCACCCCTCATCCCAGCCATCACCACCTGGGCTCCCCTGGCAGGGCCTGTACAGAGCCTGGGTCCCTGACTGAACCCGCTGGGCTTCTCACCTGTGATCAGGATGTCCAGGGGGTCACTGGGGGCAGACCCCCTAGAGGAGAGGTTGTGTTCACTGAGCATCTGTACTGGCCCCCATGGGAGATGCTCACAGGGCCCAAGGGGAAGTCATCCTGGGAGAACTTCTGGCCAGAACTCAACTCAGAAGGTGATGTATCTTTTTCTTGGACAGAGAGAATATTTTGTAGCCAACATCAGAGCAACACAAGAGGGTCAAGCTCTCTCCATGGGCCATGACAAGGCCCTGTGGTCAAATGGGAGGGCTCCCTAGGCACACCTGGAGTGTATGAGGAGCCGAGACTCCTCCTTCCAGGTCCCCTTCCAAGCTCCTTCTTTCACCAGGTCATCTCCAGGTATGGTCAGAATCCAGTGGGCTCCTGGAGCTTTTGGTCTCAGGTGATAAAGTCTGCTAAACCAGACTGGTAAACCTCCACCTGTGGCTAGAGGTCATGGGGTCCACCAGGATCAGGGCTTGGAACTGTCCATTGGACTGTGTTTTGGGGTCCAGGAGACAGAATAGCTTGTGTTCACCTTCTATAGTCAGAATGGACCTGTCAAATCCCAGCCGTGAAGGACATAATGGGGTCACCTTACCTCCCGAGGTCAGGACAGGGCTGGGCTGAGCTGAGAGGGCAGGTTTGCTCTAGAATCCTAGAAGAGAAGGAGGCATCATGTTAAATGGGCTCACACCTCCCACATCATCCCCAGAGCTGGGCTTAGGGGGTGAGAGGGAGATGCCCCTGAGAGCCAAACCCCTTCCTGAGGCCAGAGCCTGGGGCTGGGACCCCTGAGGGTCCTCTCACCTGTCACCACCAGCTCCAGGGGGTCACTAGGTTCTGACAAGCCTGAAGGACTGAGAAAGTGACAGCAATATCACTGTGTGTGGTGCAGAAATGCGGGGAAATAGGGGAAGAAAGCAGATCTCCTCCACTGACCTTGGGTTGTGAGTGTTCTTTCTACTAAACAATTCTCTGCTTGGGCTTCCCTTGTTTTGTTACTATTTTCTAACAGTCTCCTCCACATCTCCCTAGAAACGGCCCTTGATTCATTTCTGCCTCCTCAGTGCCCCTTGTCTAGTTCTCAAAACCTTCCTCCTCCTCTTTCCATGGTCCTGCCCTCAAGCCTTAGGGACAGTGGGTGGGTTAGCACTCCAACTTTGAAAGGAAGTCTAATCTTTATTTAAATAATCATGTGTCATCCATTGCCCGTGGCCAGGACTTAGCAGCAAATACCCCTGGTGCCTTCCTCAGTTGGACCCTTTCCAATGAGGCTGACTGAGGGCTGAGCACACATGTGCATGAGAAGTCCTAGGAGTTCAGCCAGAGTGCAGTTAGAACCTGTCCTTTCTGAAGGAGGAGGACGGAAGAATCCTTGCTCAAAAGTATATGCTCTCGCCCCTTCTCTTCAGCATAGTAATAGAAGTCTTAGACACAGCAATTAGGCAATAAAAATACACAAAGCACCCAAATCAGATAGAAAGTGACATTGTCTCCATTTGCTGCCATGATTTTATATATAAAAATCCCTAAAGACTCAACCAAACAACTTTTAGAACTGATCCATGAATTTAGTAGAGCAGGATACAAAATCAACATGCAAAACTCGGTAGCATCTCTGTACACTAAAAACAAACTATCCAGAAAGAAATCAAAAGAAAAATTGCACTTATAATAGCTAAAAAATTACTTAGAATTAAATTTAACCAAGGAGGTTGAATATCTCTGTACTAAAATCTTTACAACATTGATGAATGAAATTGAAGAAGACCCACATAAATGGGAAGGTAGCTTAGGTTCATGGTCTGCAAGAATTAACACTGTTAAAATGTTCTTATTACAATAAGAACACATGGACACAGGGAGGGGAACAACACACACTGGGGCCTGTGGGGGGAGGGCAGAGGATGAAGGGAGGGAGAGCATTAGGAAAAAGAGTTTTGCATGTCGGGCTTAATACCTAGGTAATGGGTTGATAGGTGCAGCAAACCACCATGGCACATGCCTACCTATGTAATAAACCTGCCTGTCCTGTACATGTGCCCTGGGACTTAAAAAAAAGTTTATACCTGCAGACTCAATGCAATTCCTATCAAAATTCCAAGGTCATTTTCCACAGACATAGAAAAACAATCCTAAAATTTGAATGGGACTACAAAAGGACCCCAAATAGCCAAAACAATCTTGAGCAAAGGGAAAAAGGGGGTATCACACTTTGGAATCCCCAAATATCCTACAAAGCCACAGCAAGGAAGACAGCATGGAACTGACATAGAAACAGGTACAGTGATCAGTGCAACAAGGATGAAAGCAAAGAACGAAACACACACATTTATGGTGAATTGATGCTCAACAAAGTTTCCAAGAACAAGAGAGCGCAGTCCTTCTGAATAAACGGTCCTGGGAGAACTTAGTCTCCATGGAGTGTGGAGGTCTGGGTCCTCCCTGGGCTAGTGGATGGCCACAGCAGCGTATACGCTCAGCTCAGCTGAACTTTCCCTTTCCTGGGAGGAAAGAGGCTTCATTATTTCCTGTTTGAGGGTTAAGTTGTGCAGCTGGGCATAGGTCACATCCTGGGGATATTCATATGAAGAAGAATGAAATTGAACCATTATCCCATGTACAAAAATGGGTGAGAGAAAAGCTTCAAGACGTTGGTCTAGGCAAAGTTGTTTGGATATGGCCCTGAAAACACAAGCAACAAAAGCAAAAGTAGACAAAGGGTGTGCCTTCTAACTAAACAACTTCTGCACAGCAAACAACAGAATGAAGAGACAACTCAGAAATGGGAGAAAATAGTTGCAAGCTGTATCTCTGATAAAGGGTTAATATTTAAAAATATATAAGGAACTAAAACAACGCAACAGCAAGAAACCAAAAACTACTTGAAACACGGGCAAAGGAGCTGAACAGGCATTTCTCAAAAGAAGACATACAAATGGTCAGCAGGTATATGAAAAGGTGCTCAGACAAAAGCTTTGTCTGTTGAGATAATAACTTTTTGTTCATTTTGTTAAAATACTGAATTACATTGATTGAGTTTTTGAAAATTAAGCTACCCTTGCTTTTCATAAACAAAATTAAAAAATAATAAAAAACCAGTGTGGTCATGATATATTGTCTATTTTATAGAGACATGAATCTTGTTAATATTTGTTAAGGGATTTATATTTCGGTGAGATATCATCCATGACTTTAACATTTTGTAGTTTCCTTGTCAGGTTTGGGTATCAACTTGTTCCTAGTCTGATAAAATGTATTTGTGTAAATATACACAAAATATTCTCAGGGAAAATTTATGCAAGTTTCTGTGTGTGTGTGTGTGTGTGTGTGTGTGTGTGTGTCTGTGTGTTTCATGAGTGCATAAGAGTTTGAAAAAACCACCAACAAATCTTCCTGAAGTGGCATTTACTTTGCGGGAACTTTTTTTATTACAGGATCAATGCATTTTATATATATTTATGTAGGATGATTCAGTTTTTCTATTTATTCTTATGTTCATTAAGTAAACTGTAATTTTGAATATTTCATCTATCTCATCTGCATTTTCTGTTATGTCGGCATAGAATTGCTCAGTTTTCTTTCACCTTTGTAAAGCTGTGTGTAGGGTCTGTAGTGCTGCCTCCTGTTTTGTTCCTGTATGGAAAAGCGTGCCTGCTCTTTTTTTATTCTTATTTTTCTCATTGTGGCCAAGTTCCATGTATCATTAATGTTTTCAAGAATAAACTTTTGACTTTATTAATTTTTCCTTAGTTTTTGTTTGTCCTCATTAGAAGCTCCCATTTTCCCATGTCATTGGTTTGATGTGTAATATTTACATGAGCATTCAATTTAAAACATTTTCTGACTTCTGGTTTTTTGTTGTTGTTGTTGTTGTTGTTGTTGTTTTTCTATCAGTTAACTCATTGGGAACTGAGAAGTCTGCTACTTTATTTTGATAATGCAGGGATACTATTTATCTTTGCAGAATCAGGTGAAGCCCAAAGTTCCCAGAATCTTCTAGTGGTCTGTGTTAGGGGTCTGGGCTGGCTGGGGTTCAATGATGTCCACTGGGGGCAACTTCCATGCCTTCTGGGGTCTTGAGTCTCCGTGGTTTGTGGGGTCTGGGTCCTCCCTGGATTAGTGGATGCCAGAGTGGCGTAGACACTGGGCTCAACTGAAGGTTCCCGTTTCTGGGGTGGAGGAGGCTCAGTTGCCTCCCGTCTGAGGGTCAAGCTCTGCAGCTGGGCATAGGTCACATCCTGGGGGGCTTCAGATGTAGCAGCCTGCAGTGGGGGAGAGTGAGAGGGAAGGAATGTGGTGGGGGTAGGGGAGGGCTGGGGGCCTGGAGAGGAAAGGACCAGCCTGAGTGTCCATCTGCCTGGCCTCTTCCGCCTGTGTGTCCTTTGTGTCCAGGAATTCCTCGGACAGTGGGGAGGGAGGGGAGGCCATTTCTCTCCTAGGTCTGGAGTGTTTCACCCGGGCATGTGTCACTGTCTGGGGGTCTTCATCATGTGGGCTCTGCTAGAGAAAGACACTGGTGGGGGGTGTCCTTGAGTCCCCCTGACCTCCTGGAGTCAATTTTCCTCACTGTTCCCAGGGTGATCTGATTACATCCCTTTCCTGATGGAATCTCAGGGATGCCCTAAGGCCATGTAGGGTCTGGCGGCTCCCTCCCTGTGGTTCTGGCCTCTCCTCCTCACTCTGACCTTGCCCATTTGACTGCAGCCTCACGCCCACCTTCCTGCAAGAGCTTGCTGCTGCCTCAGGACCTTTGCACGGCTGTTTCCTCTGCCTGCAGGGGCTCGTCCATTAGAGGATCCTGTGGCCCCCTCCGTCCAGGCTTCTCAGATGACAGCTGAGCAGACAGCCCTCCCCTTACATTCAGACTGGCCC